AAAAAAAAAAAAAAAAAAAGAATGAAAACTTTAAAATTGATGAGTTTTAAACAGAGACGTGTTTGGATATTATTTATGTATTTATGTTTTTTAAATATTCTGATTTTTTTTCTGTTTTAGAGACAGGGTCTTGCTCTGTCACCCAGGCTAAGTGCAGTGACACAATCATAGCTCACTGTAACCTCCAACTCCTGGACTCAAGGGATCCTCCTGCCTGAGCCTTCCAAAGTATTAGGATTACAGGCATGAGCCATCATGCCTGGCTGACACTTCTGTTTTTCAGAGACATTTTTAGGCCATGTGTAGTGGCTCACGCTTGTAATCCTAGCACTTTGGAAGGACCTCTTCAGCCTAGGAGTTTGAAACTACCATAGGCAACATACAGAGACTTTATCTCTACAAAAAAAAATAAAAAAATAAAAAATTTACCTGGGCATGGTTGCATGTGCCTGTAGTCCCAGCTACCCCCAAAGGAAGGGGTAAGAGGATCACATGAACGTAGGACTTGGAGGTTCAGTGAGCTATGATCATGCCACTGCACTTCAGTCTGGATACCAGAGCAAGACGCTGTCTCTAAAATAAAAAATAAAAAAGTAAAGACACCATTAGATTAAAAAAAGAACACATGAAGTTGAAAATATTTACAGTAGATAAACAGGCAACTAACTCATGTAGAATATATAAAGAATTCCTATAAGTCAATAAATAAGTAAAAGACAAGATAACAGGAAAGTTGTTACAGACTTGAATAATCACTTCACGAAAAAATTCTAAGTAAACTTGGAAAGGTGCTCAACCTCTTTAGTGGACAAGGAAAAGCAAATTAAAATAACAGTGAGAAACCATTATACACCTTCATGATTGGTGAAAATGTATAAATCTGATGATACAAGGGTTTATAAGGATGTTCACAGCAACAGGACATTGCCATGGGAGAGTAAGTTGATATAACCGCTTTGGAAGTATATAGTTAAATCAATGGGACCTGGGATTTTTACCCCAGATTAAATAGCGTAGGGAAGACCATACACACTGTAACAGTATCTTTTATACAAAAATGTTCTTAGCAACGTTGCCAAAAACTATACATGACAGAAGTGTTGAGCTGAACAATGGGTTAACAAATGAAGGTACTTTCCGTATAGTAGAATACCATAAAACAACAAAAGTGAAAGCAATACAGCAGCCTCGTGCACAAAAACAATGTCTTAAAAACATAATGTAGAGCATATAAAGCAGGATAGAGAAGAAAGTATATAGTACAATTCCATTGAGATAAATTTCCAATCTAAGTGGAACTGAATTTTATCATTTAGAAATGCATACTCCAGTGATAAACTATAAAGGCAAATAAGAAATTGCATTAGAGGCCAGGCACAGTGACTCATGTAATTTTAGCATGTTGGGTGGATGCTAAATTTTAGCATGCCAAGATGGGTGGATTGCCTGAGCTCAGGAGTTCAAGACCAGCTTAAGCAAGAGCAAGATCCTGTCTCTACTAAAAATAGAATAAAACTAAGCAGGCATTGTGGCAAGCACCTCCAGTCCCAGTTACTTGAAAGGCTGAGGCAAAAGGATTGCTGAAAGCTCGGTGCCTGTAGCTCAGTGAGTAGGGCACTAGCCACATACACCAAAGCTGGTGGTTCAAGCCCAGCCCAGGCCTGCTAAAGAATAATGACAACTGTAACAAAAAAGTAGCTGGACGTTGTGGCAGGTGCCTGTAGTCTCAGTTACTTGAGAGGCTGAGGTGAGAGAATCACTTAAGCCCAAGTGTTTGAGGTTGCTATGAGTTGTGATGCTACAGCACTCTACTGAGAGTGACAGTGAGACTCTGTCTCAAGAGAAAAAAAAAAGAGGATTGATGAAGCCCAAGAGATTGATGTGGCTATGAGCCATGAAGCATGGCACTCTACCCAGGGTGACAACGTGAGACTCTGTTTCAAAAAAAAAAAGAAATTGTGGGTGGAGCCTATGGCTCAGTGAGTAGGGCCTCAGCCCCATATACTGAGGGTGGCAGGTTCAAACCTGGCCCCGGCCAAACTGCAACAAAAAAATAGCCAGGTGTTGTGGCAGGTGCCTGTAGTCCCAGCTACTCGAGAGGCTGAGGCAAGAGAATCACCTAAGCCCAAGAACTGGAGGTTGCTATGAGCTGTGACACCATGGCACTCTACCAAAAGCAACAAAGTGAGACTGTCGATAAAAAAATCAAACTTTGGTGGGGAGAGAAAAGGCTGCTGGGCTGATGGCTGTGTTCTTCCTGTATACCAGAATAGTTATGACTTGTATATTTGCTGTACATTATGTTTCATGTACTATTCTGCATGTATTTTATTTTACAATTAAAAGTTTTAAAAATGGGGCAGTGCCTGTGGCTCAAAAGGGTAGGGTGCCAGCCCCACATGCCTGAGGTGGTGGGTTCAAACCCAGCCCCGGCCAAAAAAAAAAAGTTTTAAAAATGGGCTTGGTGCCTGTAGCTCAGCGCCTAGGGCACTGACCACATACACCCAGGGCTGGCGGGTTTGAACCCAGCCCAGGCCTGCTCAACAACAATGACAACTGCAACAAAAAAATATAGCTAGGTGTTGTAGTGGATGCCTGTAGTCCTGAGGACTGGAGGCTGAGGCATAGAATTGCTTAAGCCTAAGAGTTTGAGGTTACTGTGAGCTATGACTTTACAGCACTCTACTGAGGGCAGCATAGTGAGACTCTGTCTCCCAAAAAAAAAA